GTTGATGGACAAGACTAGGATTCTACATAGAGAAATTCTTAGATTAAAGCTTTCCTCATTATTTATCTACCTTTCATCTTTCTTTTGGCTGCAGGCTGTGGTTTAGCAATTTCATCTGTTGGTGTATTGTTACTTCAAACTGCGTAGTTACTGCTTAAGAATCTTGTCTAGGAGAAGAAGGGTATGCATGGCTTCCATAAATACTGAATTCTAATGCATTTGTTCTCTCTCTCTCTCTCTCTCTCTCTCTCTCTCTCTCTTATATAGACTTGCCCCTGAGTTTTGGCTTCTTAGAAAATGTTGGATGCACCTTCGCCCCCGCCCCCTAAACGTAGTTCTTTTCAAGGAGTTATTATTTGGGTCGCTGATTCTTCTTGGTTTTAGCATCTGGGATTCTAATTTCTAACATTCTTTTTGTACTTTTATTATTATTGGAAAAAGGGTAAATGCAAGTATTAGTAATCATCAACTATGGTTTTTCCATAAATTTTCCGGTGTTAGATACTAATGATTTAACCTTTGGGATTCTGACATATTCTTTTTTAAAATGCTTGTGCAAATAAAATAATTAATATCTTTCACTTTCTATGCCTTAATCCAGGTGCTTTCTTGTACTTGATTCAGCCAATGTTATTGCTTTCCAGTTCGTATTTCTGTCATGATTATTATGCCCATGGCTACTTGATTTCTTAGTTTCTTTTCTTCTATGAGGTGGACACTGCTGAACTGATAATCTTTGCATTGATTCATTTGCTTTTCTCCTATCCCTACTCCCCAACAATATTAATGGTAATCATATGTTTTTTGTTCCTAAATTATTTCAGGTTCAGAGAGATCCCATCTGGTACAGAGATTTAATGTGCTGCAGTTAGCATTTTCTTCTGAAGATTCAAACATGAAGAAGCTCTTCTTTTTCAGATCTTCTGCTTCTAGCAATGGAAACAACAATGTTTCTCCATCAACTGATAAGCAGATATACTGGGAGAATCCATCAGAAGATGGCAATCAAGTTGGTGATATGGCCGAGAATAGTTTCCGAAGCCCTAAGGGATTTTTTTCTAAATCTCGAAAGCAAGTAACTGATATCCAGAACTCAAGTAAAAGTCCAGGTCTTAGAAGGAGCCGGTCATTATCATCAGCAGCCTTTCTTGGAAATGAGCCAGCACAAAACAATTTTTCTTCTTCAAGATATCAAAGTAGATCTCCATGCAGTCCTGCAAGTAGCGTTCCTCATCAACAATGTGGCCAATCATCTTGGTGAGGCTTTTGCAATAACTTATGTCTTATTATGATGAGCTTGTTGACTAAGCGCAAGTACAATATTTGCAGTCTTGTTTAATATAAAAAATTCTTCTCGAGGCTAATTTTGTTGGGCTTGTGATGCATACCAGTTGCAGGACTCTTACTCCGGAGAGGCATGAGGCTAAACCTTTTGAAGTTCCAGCTGTTCAAAATACACATGGACTAGAGAGGCCATGTTCTGCTGGCTCCTCTAGAATTCACCATGATTCATCTGGGAGCTCCTCCACATGCTCTAGTAATATCTCATCCAAAGTTTTGGACCGTTACATTGATGGAGAGCAGGAGGAAAGGTGCAGACAGAAAAACAGTTCTTCCTCTAGAAACTTATGTGGGAATGGAAATGTTGGTGGATGCCGTCCTCCGCGGGCTCAGTTTACAGCACCCAATTCACCCAGGGCTCATTCATTTAGAGAGGCTAAAAGTTCTCGTTTTCGTTTGTCATCCAGAGACTGGGCAGAAAATGGATTTGGGCATGAATCTCCCCGGAGACTTGCAAAGAATGTTGTTGAGAGGCTCTCACAGTCTCATGTTATTCAACCAACACATGAAAAGGAGTTTGACCATGATATGCCAGTCACCATCGAGGATATATATGGTAGATCAGATCTGGTTTCCCAGAAAAATTATCATGGGGATGACTACTCAAGCTTGCAGAAACTTATCTATGGAGAAAATTGTGACGGTTTAAACACCGATGAGACTCAAGAAGACATGGATGTGGAATTGGAAAGAAGATTGAAGGAAGCTGAGGAGAATGTCATGCTTCTTTCAGAAGAACTTGAACAGGAAAGCTTTCTTAGAGATAGTGGGTACAATGTTCAGCAGACAGTTAGAAACCTGACTGATCAGAGGATAAACTTGGCACTTGAGGTTTCAAACCTCCTACAGTTGCGCATTGCTGAGAGGGCTTCTGCCAAGAAAGAACTCAGACTGGCAAAAGGAGAACTGGAGTCACGAACCAAAAAACTAGAGAAGGAGAAGAATGAGTTGCAGTCAGCATTGGAGAGGGAACTAGACAGAAGGTCAACTGACTGGTCACTTAAGCTTGAGAAATATCAGTTGGAAGAGCAGAGGCTTCGTGAGCGGGTTAGAGAGCTTGCAGAGCAAAATGTCTCACTTCAAAGAGAAGTTTCTTCCTTTAATGTGAGAGAAACTGAGAGTAGAAGTGTGATAACAAATTCAGAGCAACAGCTTAAGGGCCTCACAACAAGGCTGGGGGAAACGAGAGAGGAGAATCAAGATTTAAAAAATAATCTCTCAGACTTACAGGAGAAGTATAGAGCAGCGGAGGAAGATCGTGTTTGCATCCATAAAAGTTTTGAAGAGAAGGATAAGGAGTGCAAGGATTTGCGGAAATCCATTACAAGATTATTAAGAACCTGCAAAGAACAAGAGAAGACAATTGATGGCTTGCGTGAAGGTTTTGGTGAGGAATTTAGGAAGAACCAATCATTGGAGAGGGTTGATAAGCATATTTCTAAATTGCAGATGGAGCAGATAAGGTTGACAGGAGTAGAGCTGGCCTTGAGAAGGGAGTTGGAATCTCATAGGCTTGAAGTTGATTCTCTTAGGCATGAGAATATACACTTGTTAGACCGGTTGAGAGGCAATGGGAAAGAAAATGGTGCTTTAACCTTTAAGCTAGATAAGGAGATGTGGACACGGATCTGCTGCTTGCAAAATCAAGGGCTATCGATCCTAAACGAGAGCTCCCAGTTATGTTCAAACTTACTGGAATTTGCCAAAGGGAAAGCAGGCCAACTTCCAGAAGCTAGGAATGGTTTAGATGGGCAGTTTTTTGTTGAATCTGAAATGAAAGTTCAGGGCTTAAAGCGTGGAACTGAAAGTTTAGCAAGAAGTTTGCACACCATGTCTGCTTTGCTGCATGAAAAATCCAGTTTGGCCTCTTCAAAATATCCATCTAAGTGCATTAATGCTGATGGGTCTCCAAATGATCAAAATCCAGAGGTTAGTTGCTTGCTGCTGACTATGTTCTGAGGTTATTCTTAGAGAAAGGACACTTAATATGAAATTTTCAGTTATTATTTTTGAATGAGTTCTTTGTTTGTATTCTACATACACACAGTTATTGATGCTTGGTTTTATCACTCTTACTTATCTAGGACGATATGAGATATGAGCTTAAAGCAGAAATTTTACTAACAAGCCTACTAAGAGAAAAGTTGTATTCTAAAGAGCTGGAAGTTGAGCAGTTGCAAGCCGAACTTGCAGCAGCTGTAAGAGGAAATGATATTCTCCGATGTGAAGTTCAAAATGCAATGGACAACCTTTCCTGTGTCACCCACAAGTTGAAGGACCTTGAACTGCAGGTAACCCTTAATATCACATACGATATAAATTTTAATATTAGAGATCATAATATGTATGAATCTGGTGCTTTGTTTGTTTATATGACGTATGTGATTAAGCATGTATGTGCTTTAAGAGATACAAATAACAATTTTCAAATATTTACTTCACATGATGTTTTAACCCAATGAGTTACTAATTGAGGGCTTTACAAGGACAAATGAAGACATAAAAGACTGTTAAGAGAAAATACATTATCACAATTGTTTCTCATGTGATATGCTGTATAATGTTGCATATGTGTATTATCTATGTGGTCCGTTTCCATTACAGTTGCAGTTTTTTGCATTATATTGATGTCAATTTTCTTTTGGGTTTTCGATTGATTTATGTATATTTCTTGAAGTTGCATAATAATGCCTCTAATTTATGTTATTTGGGAAGAAAAAGAGTCTAGCATAGGCCCACGAGCTGTTCATAAAGAAGCTAATTTGTCTGCTGGTTGGTGGGAAGATTGGTTGTTGCTTGAGGATTAACCACACATTTCAGAATTTGATTGTTTTTTTCAGGCCCCAATAACAGTTTTAACGACAATGAAGAAATTTATTTATGAAGTTATACCAGTTGTGCCTACTATTTGCCTTCTATAGGTTAATTATTCTTCTTTTTTTTTTCTTCTTCTTCTTCCATAATAATGCAGATGCTTAAGAAGGATGAGAACATAAGCCAGCTTCAAAGTGACCTCCAGGCATCTACGAAAGAATTAACAGTTACGAGGGGGATACTGCCAAAAATTTCAGAGGAGAGAGATATGATGTGGGAGGAGGTGAAGAAATACAACGAGAAGAACATGTTACTGAACTCAGAGGTTAATATGTTGAAGAAGAAGATTGAAACCCTCGATGAAGACATACTTCTAAAGGAAGGTCAGATCACAATCCTGAAAGATACCATAGGGAACAAGCCTTTCGACCTTCTATCCAGTCCCGATTCTATGCGAGGTTTTTTGCTTCAATAACTGTCAAAGAGCAGGGCTTTCTCATAGGGTGAATACATTGTTCATAGTCCTATACTCCCCAAGTTCTAATAGGTTTTTCTTTTCCCATTTGTATACTTTTCCCTCTTTTCCCTCTTTTATCATGATTTGACTGTAATCTCCCAGTCCTTATAGCTGTTCATAGTTGGTTTGCCTTTGTTCTCTTTCTCTTGACAAGAAGGTTAATGAATCTGTTGGTTTTAACTCCAGAGATTTCCTGGATCTATTTTTCTTACTTCTGGTTTCTGGTATGATTGAATTTGCTGAGATTCTGAAAATTCATTTAACAGTTTGCTTTGCCATAAACCAAAGCCCAAAAAAGCAGCAAAAGACCCGAAAGGAGAGACTAAACAAGAACAAATAATTAAATCCATCAAAACTAACAATAATTAAACCCATACCAAACATTTTCTGGAACAAATGTCCTAAAATAGAACACATAAGAAACTGGCACTACACGGCTGCCATCTTGTTGATGAAGCACCTTCACCCGGCCCGGTCGCCAGTCGTCTGACCCGACCCTCTTCAGGTACAGAGAGCACACCGTCTGGCTCATGCATGGTCCACTGGCCTCAAACATGTCTTTGGCACATCTTCCAAACCCGCCATAACCCCTATGTCTCAAACCACCTTTTGGAGCATACAATAGCTTAGGGTTGTTCAGATGCTTCACTATGATCAAGTTACCCTCGGAGTCCCCGAATCTGACACTGACATGGTCCGTGGTTCCGGCAGATTGTGCACATGTTGTCTCAATCTCAATGGAGTAGGTGCAGTTTGTTTTGGATCCTTGGAAGCCATAGTTGTTAGGTTGCATTGCATTGATTGGCATAGAAAGGATGAAGAAAATTGCAAAGACAGTTAAAATGCTCATTCTCTTCATTGGAAACTTTAGCAGGGTTTCTTTGTTGTGATTTGTTTTTGGGTGAGAGGTAGTGAGTGAAAGTTTGGAACTTGTATATAATACAAGAGATTTCTAATTTGGGGTAGATTCTGTGAAGATATAAAGAAAGGTTGCACAGGAAAATCAAAGAAAGGCATGCAAATGGATTTGCTTTGAGAAAGAAGAGATTCCCATTTCCCCACTACTTTCATTCTCAATCGACAATGGATAGTGCATCTTTTAACCTCCGACCAATCCAATGGCAAATGTTTTGGAACATGAACAGGAATTTGCTGCTGACTATGTAGTTATCCTAGCATGTGTGGACACATTGGTATCGATTTTTCTATGCCATGTCATGTGATTTGGTTCAGCTTTATGAACAATAATTAAAGAAACGATCCTAATTAAGATTGGGAGAACAATATCTTTAATCTTTAAACAGGCTTTATACGTCTACTAAGATTGAACTTTGAAAAAGAAATCTATGTGAAAAAACTGAGTTAGGAGGCCAAACCAGCCCTCCATATTTTTGTATACAAGCTATATTCTACTTTAATCTAATCTAAACAACGAGGAGAGGGATTTGAACTCGGGTGCAGAGTGGGGAGCACATCCGCTCTAGCCAACTCGGCTAAGGCCCATATCTGCAAACCAGCCCTCCATCTTGAGGTTTCTTTTTTTGGGTTTTAAATTTAATGTTTTGATCTGTACACCAAAATAGACAAATGTATTCTTTAAAAGCACCAATTACTTTGATCCTTCATATCCATTTGCCGAGGATATAGTTTTATGAACATATTCTCTCGAAAAATGTATTCTTTTTCTCTTAAAGTAAGACCAGTCTAATACAACAATCCATATGCTGAAGTAGAAGAATGTATAGTTCGATCCTACATTGATATTGATGTTTGTTTATTGGTGAAAGGGGAAAGGCCATAACTGACACTATGGTAGCATCCAAAATATTCAATTTGCTGCATTATTCTTTATCTGACAGAAGTTCAAAATGGCTCTGAGATATCATTTTGAGTAATAGAGTACACAGGGCTTTATTGGTGAAAGGGGAAAGGCCATAACTGACACTATGGTAGCATCCAAAATATTCAATTTGCTGCATTATTCTTTATCTGCAGGTGCAACAGAAGTTCAAAATGGCTCTGAGATATCATTTTGAGTAATAGAGTACACAGGGAAAACCATCTCGCAAATCATAGAGATGCAGATTTCCAGAACTCAACGGGCTTCCGGTGCTGAAATAGCAAACAAAATAAAAAGAATTAGTTTACTACAACATAATTCGATCAAGAAAACAAATATACTTCATTTTTCAAACTAGACAAAGAACATACCTTGGCAATTGGCATCTTTTCTCTCACTGAATCGATCAAAGAGAGATCAATATCAGCTATAGCAATCCCTGTTGACATTCGATCTAAGACAGAGAACGAAATGTTAAAATTATGTTGCAGCATTGGCTAGTACAAGTAGCACCAGCCTAAGAACTGGTTCCAAACAATAAAGCAGCAGATTTGACATTATAGTTTCTTATTTTTCATTTTCAACTCTTAGGAAAGGTAACACACTCTAGTATTTCAAAGAACGGCTACAGAGAAGTTCAACCTATAGTGAGGTATTTCAGAGTTGAATATCTCCTCAACCAAAAAACCTTTCTAGTAAAGTTATATGTCTGATCCATTCTGGATCTTGTAAAACATGAGTTAACACAGAGGACCAAGTCTCTTATCTGTTCTTCCACATTATCAAGGAACAAATTAACAACACTCAAAACACCTTCAATTATCTATTTTTATAGCTTGTTAATAGTTGCCATGGTTTAACAAGGGAAACTCAAAAAAAAAAATCGAAGAAAAATTGAACTTCATTATAGGAGTCTTTGAGAGATTAACAAAGAAAATGATGGTTTATAAGTCAAAATTTCCTTTTATTAACTAAACTTGAAGCCATGATCTACAGCCACTGAAGGCTATCTCAAGAAGCTTAGAATGTGCAAGAAAATTAAGTTCTCACCAGGCAGTCGGCCAACAACTGTTCCCCATGGATCAATAATTAAAGTTTCGCCGTGGCTTTCTCTTTTATCATTATGCTGTCCAGCTTGTGCTGCAGCTATGACCTAATAATGCATAAATAACATAATCATCCCCAAAAATGTAGCAGCAAAGAACAGTACCATATCCAAGATGACATTGTCAGCGAATTTGTTCCCTAGAAACAAATATGAAAAGGTTACGTTAATGAAGAAGCAAATGGAATGCATACATAGCATTGAGTTTCAATTGCACGAGCACGTAGAAGAATCTCCCAGTGCGCCAGCCCAGTTACTTTTGTGAAGGCCGCAGGGACCAATAGAACCTGCAGATTGTAATGCAAGATGGCAATATGAGATGATAAATAAATAAGCCCCATTTCACTTCAATGCTAAGAAAAATCTACGTGTACCTGTGCCTCATGTTGGAACCTGAGCTGCTGGTATAGCTCTGGGAATCTCAGGTCATAGCAAACTGTCAAACCCAAGCGTCCAACCGGGCTATCTGTTGCAACAACATTCTTCCCTGAAAATACAGACAAACAGCAATAGTAAAAAAAATGTTAATGGTTAAAGAGGACATTCAAACGCCAGGATTAAAACAATGTAAATGAAACCGTCCCAATACTTATATATAATTTGAACATTACATATGTGGGAAGCAAATTACCTGGTTCTGTAAAGCTGCCTTCATTGTATGCCCTTCCACCAGGAATATCCACATCAAACCTGCAACAACAAAACAACTTTAACAACTTTGTTTGCTATAAGCACATAGGTTACAACATGACCACAGTTTTCACAAAAAGTTCAGCAACCAAATATTGCAAAGCAGTGAACTTAAAAGAAGGGTCACATACAAGTAAATCTTACTGTAAGTGCTTCTGATGTTCCCAGCATCATCAACCACAACATGGGTGTTAAACAAATGTTCATCATCAGACCCCTTTTCTTGGAACCCTCCAAGAGACAACCAAATCCCAGATTCTCTGCAATTAATTCTTAAATGGGTCACTTCAATTACCCACAAAATCAAATTCTGATATAAAGTTTCTTTCTTTTTTACAAAATTACTAATATACCTTGCTAGAGAGCAGTACTGTTGCAAAATTGGACCGTCCAAAGGTTGCGCTATTTTGATACTATCCCCATCTTTGGCACCAATAAAGGAGAAGCTTTCTGGAAAGCATATCAATTTTGCTCCAGCGGCAGCTGCTTCCTTCGCTTATCATAAAATGATATTATCAATAATTAATCAAACTTTGAAAAACAAAAAATAATTTAACAAATTGAATTTTTTTTTTTAAAGGTGTAAAGTTGGGTACTTTGACGAGGCGAGAGCAGGTGGCGAAGTTGGCGGCGAGGTCGTTGATAGAGGTCATCTGAGCGGCGGCGACTCGGAGTGAGTTGGCGGCCATGTTTGACTCGCCGGCGATGATGACACGTGCGGACTGGCAACGAATCGGAGGGGCGTGTCGGAGGAGTGGACTGATACGATAGTTAGGTAAGGACAGACAAAACGGCATCGTTGGGTAGCATTGAACGGTCCGCGGGAAATGTTAACGGCCAGTTGTTTTCCCTTTTTTGGCATTTAGTCCTTAAGACTTTGCTGTATTTTAAGGATTTTAATATTTAAAGAGCTTTTTCTGTCTAATTCAAATGGTTTTTTTTAATAACAAATGTTGCATTTTTTAAATTTCAATTGGGATAACCTTCAATTCCCACCTGAATGCTACATTAACAATATCATATATGACAATAACAAGTATCAAAATCTTCTTTATAAATTTTAATCCAAGGATTATAATATTTTATTCACCAAAATGCAAATTAATGGATATTAGGTTTTTTTTTTGTCACTATTAGAAAGGAAAGGGGATATTCTCACACATACATGAAACGGGGAATCGAACCGTAGACTACTAGCTTACATGCCCATAGCTCTACAACTGAGCTAAGACCTATTGGCATAATGGATATGCGGATGATTGTGGTGAGAAAATATAATAAATTTAAGATGTAGAAAGATGATTCAAAGTATTTGTTTAAATGAGAAAACATACAAGCATGTCATCTTCTCATCAATAAATTTTCTTCTGATGAAAACCAAAAAGAGAAGTCCTATCAACAACAAACTCATTCAAACACATCAAACTTATGTCCCAAGAAAAAGTTGAAGCTTCGATTTTCACCAAGTGGTAGATAAAGTACCATGTACTTGGAAGGATGTGTGTTCTCTTTGCAAAGGACAGCCGAATCCATAGTTTAATCAATGAGTGCATGATGCATCGATATAAACGGTGTGTCCAATGTTAAGACAAAACATGGAATTAATCATGCTGCATGCACCTAGTTATCTTTTAATAACATTTATAGTTGATATGACTAATGTTTATAACTACTCTTCGGTCTAGCAGAATTTGTCTCCATTTGATTATAGTTGATTTCGAATTCATATCATATAGATTACGAAAAATGAGTTCAATACCTCTAATTGATCTTCATCTTCTACAAGAGAAAAGATCTATATGATCTGTGAACATATAAACTTCATTCATAAACATAAAAAAGATTATGTGCCAAATCAAAAAAACAAAGAGAACTCAAACTTCGATTTTCACCAAGGAGTAGAAAAGTACCATTGTTCTTTGGAAAGAATAAAGCAAAGTGTGTTCATTTGCAAGTGACAACCGAATGTATAAGCAAAACCATAAAATATAGCCAGAAGGTCAATTAGCAAGATATTATGATTGGCCAATAGATAGTGTGTAGCAAGTTGTCAACTTTATTCCCAAGAAATTCCAAAACATAATATTATCGGCAAAGTGGGAAAATTCTTTAATGATTCTTAAGAAGAACTTAATAGAGTTTACTATATTAAGGAGAAGGGAAGATGAGCAAAAGTTGCCTGAAATGGTGGTTTGTTGCAGGTCAAAGTCAAAACCCCAGCCCATAAATTAGAATACCTAAACTGAAAATCCAACCCAAAAGGCCTCAGCAGCTCTCTCCCTTATGATGGTTTTTCAAACCGAGGGCGAGGGGTTTGTTGTATTGTATGCGTAATCTCTTTCCCAAGAAGAAAGAAAATAAAATAACATTAAGGAAAAGGAAAGAGAACCAATTACTGCTTCCAATCTATCTATCTCTCTCTCTCTCTCTCTCTCTCTCTTCTTTCGATCTACCCTTTCCACGTTTCTGACAACTTTTTTTTTTTTTTTTTTTTTTTTCTGTCAGAACATTCCAAATCTGTTTCATTGGTTCTCAGTCTAATCCATATAAAAATGGTTATTTTCAGCAACAGATGAATTATCATAGACAGAGGGCTAAAAGAATCCCTCCAACATATTGAATACAAGGTATGGAGATTTTGTTCATTTCATGCTTAAAGAAAAGAACTTGTTTTTGTTCTATATTATGCTTCAATGTTAATCATTGCAATGGAATTATTTGGTATGCAATTTTTATTACAAACCCATATGTCTGTATAGACATTGGATTTATGGTTTTGATATTTGTCTCACTTTTGAAGTTGATATATTTTCTGGAAATACCCCTTAGTTTGTATGATGATCTATTCATTGATAAAGTTTGCATTTTTGTTTTTCTAGAAAACTCTTGCTGTTTCTGGGCATGCCCATTTTGTTATGTCTTTTTCAATTAAAACCTATTGAGTTTAAGGTTGCTTGCAATTTGATTGTCGTCCCAAACTCATGTTGTCTGGTTTTGCGCACCTTTCAATCTGTTTTTTTTTTGTATACTTTTGACTTTGGTTGTGTTTGCAGTTTAATCTTTATCTCCAATTTATATGCAGGTTATTCACATACCCATCAAATCGTTCAAATCGTTAGATGCTTTACACCCCTGCAGATTAATGTCCCCATTCATCAATGAGTATTTGATTTGTGGAATCTGTTACTTGGATTTTGTAATTGTAGGGAAGCTAGAGGAAACACCAAGATTAGATCTTGTTCACAAACATATACTCGATGAATAATTTAATTGCTGGATCATTTGGTTGAGAATATGTAAGGGATGGTATCAACTACGCTAATGAAGCTTGTGGCACCGTGTTGGAAACCTTCTGTTGAGGGTGAAAATTCTAACAATAGAGGCGGGGACGTGAGTGGTCGGCTTGATGGTTTGTTGTGGTACAAAGATTCAGGACACCATGTTAATGGGGATTTCTCAATGGCGGTAATTCAAGCAAACAATTTGTTGGAAGACCATAGCCAACTTGAATCAGGGCCACTGAGCTCGCTCGAATCAGGTCCTCATGGAACATTTGTTGGAATTTATGATGGACATGGAGGACCAGAAGCATCCCGGTTTTTAAATGAGCACTTGTTCAACAATTTTAAGAGTGCGTTGTTCCCTTGACTTGCACCATTAATATTTTTTATTATACCAAATCTCCTAAATTCATCTTATTATACCTGTTCAGAATTTTTGGTAATTGCAAGACACTAAACTAATGCTGCTATTGCTATATACTTTGGTGATGGGAGAATGCCGCATTCTAATGCATTTTGGTCAGTTTTTTGCTAATGCCTGGATGTTTCTGCAGTAGCTCATAAGGAAGTAGTAGTAAAATAAAAAACTGAGAAAGTAGTATTTTCATGTGTATTGCAAGATGAAAGAGTAGTAAGAGCCATCCCTGCTGTTATCAATTTTTGTGGAAACTATTAAACTTCCTTATTTTATGTAGATGATGCTTCCAATATTTAGATAGCTAATGCATATATTTACTGACTTGACAGCTATTCATGGTGCAGAATTCACATCAGAGAATCAGGGAATGTCCGCTGATGTTATCACCAAAGCATTTTTGGCAACTGAAGAGGAATTCCTCTCTCTAGTAAAGAAGCAGTGGATAATTAAGCCACTGCTTGCTTCTGTTGGTTCATGTTGTTTGGTAGGCGTAGTATGTAGTGGGCTGCTATACATAGCAAATGCGGGAGATTCTCGGGTGGTTTTAGGAAGACTGGAAAAGACCGTTAAACAGGTAAAAGCTGTTCAGTTATCAATCGAACACAATGCAAGTATAGAATCTGTGAGAGAGGAACTGCGCTCGTTGCATCCCGATGATCCACAGATTGTGGTACTAAAGCACAAGGTGTGGCGCGTGAAGGGTTTGATACAGGTAATTCTTTTTCTTATCTGTTCTTAAATCTATTTTAATCTCTTATTATGAGTCATTTTCTGTTACCCTATACATAGTGATCTTTTTCCTTTTGACTCGTGTGTGACTCCACCAATTCTATGCAACATGATTTTTTCAGTATACATACAGTTAATTTCCTTTAGTTTTCTCAATATTTCAATGATGGACATATATTTTATTTCTCGACTAGATTGGTGCCATCATTGGAATGGATTTGGAATTGGACAAGTGGGGTTTATATGTGTTTGACTTTTAGTTCTAAACCTGAGTTGAGAAGCATTAATTTAGAGATATGTGTTTGTCTTGCAGGTTTCAAGGTCCATTGGCGATGCCTACCTGAAGCGGCAAGAATTTAACAAAGAACCTCTATTGGCAAAGTTTAGACTATCAGAACCCTTCCACAAGCCAATCCTTAAAGCTGAGCCAACAATATTAGTCCAAAAACTCTACCCTGAAGATCAGTTTCTCATATTTGCATCAGATGGCCTATGGGAGCAGTTAAGCAGTCAAGAGGCAGTTGACATTGTCCAGAACTATCCGCGTAATGTATGGTTCCTATGTTAAGTTTTAAATTTCTTTTGAATTTACTTGAGTATGTTATGATTGGATGTGTTTCTAAATCACGTCAGGAAAGATCCTTTACTCTTGCTATCGGAATAATAGGTTTTACAATTCATATATTATTAAGAAAAACTGGCACATTCTTGAAATTTTCAACTATAAAACCTCAACCTTCAAAATCATTAATCTAAATGTAGATTGGTTTTGTTTTGTATGTATTATATTGTAAGATTAGTTGGAAATCATCTTTTATTCTAGTTGCTGCTGGACCTGCTATAATATTTCCCATGTGTGTGCAGGGTATTGCAAGGAAACTTGTCAAAGCTGCGCTTCACGAAGCAGCCAAGAAGAGAGAAATGAGATATTCCGACTTAAAAAAGATCGACCGAGGGGTGAGGAGACATTTTCATGATGATATCACAGTGGTAGTGCTGTTCCTAGATTCGCATCTGGTCAGTCGTAGCTACTGGCATGGGCCTCTGCTTTCAGTTAAGGGAGGTGGCGGTGTCCCTGCCAGCACCTAGATTGGGAGGTTCAGAACTTCAGATGATCTATCACTCAAACCCCTGGTTTCTTCGTTTGTACTAAGAAACAATAAGCTTTTGTTTCTTTACAAAGAGGAGAGTTAAAGGCAGAATTTTGGGTCTTTTTTTACATCTTTTCTTTTTTCTCCTTCTTCTGATGTATAGCTGTGCTTTATGAATTTTTTTATTTGTTTTATTTTTACATAATGCCACAAGAAAATTCAGTATAGATGGAAAGTCAATGACTAGAAAACAGACTTAACCCGCCATTGGGGCATGACATATTTTTCAAAAGAGCTACCACTTAATACGAATTAATTAGGCTGCTTGCCTTGAGAATATAAGACTGGAAGCATTTTATTTCTCAACGAAGAACATTGTGCTCCCTTCTAATAAGTTCTTTTTTTTTATTTTAAAAATATAAGCGATAGTAAACTACAAATGAAAAGGGGTTCTCATGGGATTTAAACATGAGACCATTGTCTGCGAGTCAAGGCCCTAAGCTAGATCCCGTTGTCCCCTTCTGATAAATTCTTAAGCCAAAGTTTACTTTTCAACCATTAAATACAAAGCCAACAGTAAAGATACACAGTGACTGAGATGCATCTTACTAAAAACAAGGTATAAATACAACTCCAGCTAAACCTTTTCTGATTGGTATCTCAGAATCCAAAGTCCAAACCTTCTTCTTTTTTAGTCTTTTGTTTCTGCTTTGAAAAATTCTGTGAAATCTGTTGACAACGTAAATAAATACATAACCGGCAGCAGAACCAACCCAAACCGCAATGGCTATTTTGAACGTGAGTTTGAGAGGCACTGCTGCTTCTTCATCATCATCCTCTCTGCCCTCTTGGCCACACCTGTCAAATTCAGTCCCTTTCTCTCTCTCTAAGAAACCAGTGATAGCCAAATTTCCAAACACCACCATACTATCTCCACTTAAGCTTCGACTTCAAGCTTCTTTTGGAAAGAAAACCAGAGCTTCACTCTCTGCAATTATGGCAACTGGGTATGTTACTTGTCTCCTGTTTGGTTGCCCCGAAAATGCGAAAAATCCAAAGTTTATTCCTTTTTCCCTGTCTCTAAGAACCCAATAACTAGAGCTGTAAAAGTCTTCATATTTTACTTCATAAATAAGGTGAGAATTTATTTTTGTTTTTGTTCTTATGGGGAAGTGGACAAGAGGTTCTGCCACCAGCTCTCACTTCTACCTCAGACCCACCTCCACTCTTCGATGGGAAAACAAGGTTGGTATAGATTGCTAGATTTTCACTGCTTCATTGCATTTAGTTTTTGGTTAGACTTTTGTAGTTTGCAAGTTCTTGTAATTCCAAAATTGTGTTTGTTTCAATGCCCATTGCAACAAATTTTACACTATTTGGGTTTGTAATTTTGTTAATGTCAATCTCACTATTGGGAATGTTGGGTTTGTTGTATTGTTGAAGGTTGTATATATCTTACCAATGCCCATATGCACAGCGTGCGTGGATTTCCCGGAACTGTAAGGTTGTTTCTACAGGCACTTCACAGTCTGGTTTCACTTGTTTGGTCTCTTTTTCTCATTTTCAATGGTTGCACAAAAAATTCGGAGAAGAAAAGAACTTTGTGAATCTTCTGCAAAAAAGAAAAGAAAAGAATAGAACTCTTTAAATTAAGCCTGAGAGTGAGAGTAGACAGCAAACTGCAAGGGCTAGTAAATGAGGTTATGGACGACTTTTTTCTGAGGTACCAATGTTTGCTCTAGTTGTGGACGAGTCTTTATTGTTGTCTTGTTTGTGGACAAATCTTACTATGTTGGCTATGATGGTGCTTAAGCTATCCTTGTTTTCTCCACAAGATCTTCCCTCTAATCCTTGATGTTTGTTGGGAACAGGGACTGGAGGAAAAGATACAATTGGTTTCTATAGATCTGCAAGACAGACCTGCTTGGTACAAGGAGAAAGTCTACCCACCTAACAAGGTGAGCTTTTGCAATTAGAGTACGTGTTATAGCTTCCTAGATTACACAAACATAAGGTTTTTCCCTATGCTTTTGTTATGCATTTGAAAGCACAGTTCCTCAGCATAAAATAGAGTCATAAGAAATTGCAATGAAGGCTTTCATATCATGGAACATTTGAATACCCCCTCGCATTGGAGCTTAAGAATCCTCACTGTTTTGTTATTGAAACTTATTTGGATGTCAAAAGTAGTCAATAAATATATTTTTGGGCCATCATACTATGAGATAAACCGCACACATTTTGTATTGAAAAAAGTAGAAAGACAAAACAGAGCTAATTACGCTTGATTAACTGTTGCATTTTCTGCCCAAGGTGTGTCTGATATGAAATTTGAACACAGGTGCCGTCGCTGGAACACAATAACGAAGTCAAAGGAGAGAGTCTTGATTTGATTAGATATATTGACAGTCACTTTGAAGGACCTTCACTGTTCCCTGATGTAAGATTTCAGGATTGCATTGTTACTGCATGTTGACTTCTCTAGGCTATACAAAAGCTCATACTCTGTAAATATAGGATCCTGCAAAGAGAGAGTTTGCAGAAGAGTTGCTGTCCTACACAGACTCCTTCAATAAATCTGTGTTTGCTTCATTTAAAGAGGACGGAACCGAGGCAGCTGGTGAGATGACTACTTGCTTCTTTTGATGTTAATGAAGTTGAAGAGCTAATGTAACCGTAGTCGTATGTTGAAGCAGATGCTGCATTTGACTATATTGAAACTGCTCTTTCCAAATTTGAAGATGGACCTTTCTTTCTTGGCACTTTCAGTCTGGTAATATGGTAGCTATATCTGCTTTCTGTCAATTAGTATTTTAGTTCTCATTTTTGCTTTACCGGTCAGTTTTTCCCTATTTTTTTTTTTGCCAAATTCGTTTGAAGTTTTCTCCATCATTGGAAAAGTTTTAAGTTTTGTTCTTAATTTTCAGGTGGATATAGCTTATGCTCCATTCCTTGAAAGATTTCAGCCTTTCTCACTGGAAGTGAAGAAGTATGACATCACTGCAGGCAGGCCTAAACTGGCAGCATGGTTTGAGGTGCAGTATGAATTTAGTGGCTTCACATATTGACATGCCTTTGAACTTCCTCAAGAAGCGATTCCAAGTTTTAAAACATGAATGTATGTATTGTTATATCAATTATGAACATATTACTCATGTGAATGTATATCAATTGTGTAGGAGATGAACAAAAATTTAGCTTACAAAAAAACCCGGCGTGATCCCAAAGAGCTCGTTGAAAGCTACAAGAGACGCTTTTTGGTAAATTCTCTTGTTACAGCATGTTAGGGAGTCAATTCCCAAAGTTGTTGCCAATGATGAGAATTGAAGAAGATGGCTTGTGCTAATTTCTTAATTCATTGGTTTTTCAGGCACAGAAATGAAATCAGCATAACAAAGTTAGGAGTCGCTGCAATTTCAATTTGTCCACCTTCTTCAGAGAACCAAATCATGTATTTATTGAATCGAATCTTAACTTAGCTGAATTGGTAATTTCAGCTTTTATTTTATATAAATAATTTGAACAAAACAGAACATCCTTTGAATATAGGCAGAGGACATCACATGTGACCATGTAATCAGGGCCTTGGTTTACTTGACTTTCTGACTGTTTTACTAGAGAAATAACCTTTGCTTTGATTCTTATCAACATTTGTACATCAATTGCTAGCTGTTTACTTCCATTTGTTTTTGCACAATATTTCTTTTGGTAAAATGTATGGCTGTAACCAAGAAGGATGGTTCATGCTAGTTTCAGCACACTCAAGATCTCTCAATATTTCTCAAAGCATCTAACTCAGAAAGCCTCAAGGGCAAGTTGTGGGTCAACGCATTTTTTCCCTTTTTATAAGGGAAATATTATCAATCTTGCAATATCCTGCAAAAATCAATAAAATGTTTCTCTGCAAAGTAAATGCCATAAGCATATAAGGGAACTCAGAAAGCTACTTTCTTTAGCCGTAGATTATTTTTGTTTACACTTTCTAGAATCAACAAACATAAGCCATCTCCAACACCAGACCAAACTGCAGCAGCAACTAAATTAATTAATGCCACATCCTCCAACATCATCTCGGCTTCAAAGAACCAGGATCTTCCAAATCAGTGTACATATTTTTTTCAAAGAACAAAAAATTGAATAACCAAAATGTGATATGTAATGAGGAAATTTTGTTTCAACATCTCTATTATCCCAAAAAGTCAGATGAACCTGACAGCTGTGAGAATATAAAGTCGCCGAGGGGAGCAATCAAACAAAATGATACTACCCCGCCCAAAATATGAAAGTGCAATTTACTTAATACTGCAGAAACTTTAGCAATAACGGTTATCCCCTCCATCGACTATCAGCAGGATGCTCCAATGGCTCATTACGGGGTTCATGTACAGAGCACTAACAAGTACTTCGAATTTGAGATGATTGCTCGGTTGAGAAGTATGTATATCCGTAAACACAGAGCAACAGCACACACACTACTTCAGCAGTACTTTCCATATCTTGCTCATATACACAACTAAAGACCATACAGCAAGCCCTGCTGAAATATAAAGCAAAGCAACACCCGAAGCTACTAGAGCCTCTGGTTTTCCAAGACTGCAAAAGTTGGATGGTAGGTGATGGAAGCAAAGGGGTCAGAAACTACCAAATCTTTCATCTGTATTGACCTAAAGAGAAAAGATCAAAAGCCAATCAAAACAGACAATTTACCTGCTGTCTCGGGTGGCCAAGAGGACAGTTAGTGCGATCATCTGTGTGGCTGTTTTCCACTTTCCCAAGTTATTTACAGCAACAGCCTGAGAATATTCACCATTCTAATAACTACTTTGTTTATGATATGTGTTACAGCTAAAGAGCTTTTTAAGTTCTAAAATGACAAGGTGGCATGGGGAAGGAAACCAAACCTCTAAAAGCTTACTGTTCTGAGAAGCAGCCCATTCTCTAACTGCAGACATGGTTATCTAAAAATAAGATGCAAACTGATTCGTAAGACAGTACTATCAATTCAATAGAATCCATAAAACTACACAACAAGAATGATTGCACAAGTACAGGGCAAGATAGAGCAGTTGATAATTTCTTATTTGAGCAAACATGATCCTAAAACAGTAAAACTTGATCAGCAGGAACTCACAAGAACAACGTGCACATTCATACACAAAAAGTAAAAGGCCACACTCAACCTAACATGGATGAAGAGATCGTGACAAGATATTTGCAAACCCCAATTCAGTATGCCGTCCAAATACATGATACCCTGGACCCCACATCTTTAGGAAGATACCCTCGTACTTTCTACATGCAACATCATGCACAGACAATTTCATGTTAAATACAGGCAAACGCAAATTTTCTACTAACTATGATTTCCTAGGTGCCAAAAATCCAATCAAATTCCATTTTGACAATTACTAACATACCAGTGAAATATTTTATTGGTCAGTCAACACAAGAAAAAAGGGCAAGAAACGCAAGTCCTGAATCGATGAATCAATAACTAAGGAAATAAAGAAGGTAAGTAGAATTATATAATACCTCTCTACCGATTATGGCAATTGAAGGAACAACCAGCAACCATGGAACTTGCCCAAACATAGCAACATCCAAAGGCCTGGAACACAACAAAACCAGTGTGGCTGCAACCATGAGCTGCATTCAGCAGGATGACAATCAAATTTAGAACTCTAAAACAGTTTTAAAGAATAATAATAACCAGAAACAATCTGAAATTGACAATGAACGTGTTAAATTTGAACTTGATAAGAAAGACAAATACCTTATCAGCTACGGGATCCAAAAAAGCACCAAAAGCAGATCCCAACCTCATCTGAAATGCAAACAAATTCTTAAGAAGTCAATAAAATTGTCCCCAATAAAACCTCAAGCATTAAAATTCCCAAAATCAATTGAAAATTGATCTCTCAGAGTCAAGACAGAGAAAAAAAGTTAACCTTTCGAGCAATGTACCCATCAAGCCAATCAGTAATTGCTGCAGCAATGAAAATACTTGTTGTAGCAGTTGTTCCCCACCGACTATCCACGTAGAAAGCTAGGACAATGAAGGGGAAAAAAACCCACGTAAGCCAAATGAAAATGCAAGGGCATTATGCATCCTAATCAAAATCTGCAGAAACCTAGAATGCCGACAAAACCCAGATATATGAACATAACCAATTGCCAAAATATGACTGCTCCAATTTTATTGGAGCTCCCGAGAGGCATCAATGTAGACGAAAAACAAATAAAACCCACATGGGTAATCAAAAAATCAGCAAGATACACAATTGCAATCAATACAATTACCAATGAAAACAAAAGCAAATCATACTGCTAATGAGAATCGGCACAGAGGCAACGCGGCCGAGCGTTAGAATGGTGGGCAAGGTGAGCAATTTGGAGGAAGAATGCTGTTGTTGTTGTTGTTGGCGATGTTTCAGAGGAGATAACAATTCGTCGTGGTTTGGGTACAATTGGCTCTCGTACCAATCAGTGCCTTTATTGTCCGAACCCATATCGGCCATAAGACCAGCGGCAGGGCCAGGCTCAGAGCCAGACCCAGACCCAGAAGACTCTCCTTTGTCCTCGGAGAAACCCCCACTAGAGCTGCTGCTGCTGCTGCGAGAGGAGACGGGGAGGCATTTATGAAATCTGGGCCCTAGGTTTTGAAGAAGAATGTGAGGAGGGTGAGGGTGGTTGGGGTGCGCTAGGGGTGCGCAGGGGGTTATCCTGCACCCGTATTTATTATGTGTTTGCGTAAATGCCTGAATGGGGGTATTTAGGGCTGGAGGGGAAGAGGGAGAGGGAGTGGTGGTGATGGAAGAGGTAGGGCGTTGTGGGGAGACCCAAACCCAATTGGAGAGCTTTTGGTGGTAGTCAGCACGGCTCTCAGGGGAAACAGTTACAAATTCTATCTACAAACCGACTTTTGCTAAAAGCTCTTTCTTCTTTTCTTTCTTGTTTTTGCTGTGAGCTTGGTTTATAACTTCATATAGTTTAGTTAGCTCTCTCTGCTTCTGATTTCTCCCTCTGTTTCAGCAGAAGTTGGGTCCTTTAACTTTTGTTTGGTCTGGTGCCAATCTTTCAATCCTTATACTTTGTTTTCTCAGGAAAAATGAAGAAAAAGAGAACCTTTGGAATTTTCGTTTTTCTCTGAGCCAAAGCAAAAAGATGTGGACGCTTTTTGTTGGGTTACTTTGACGAATAACTTGTTCACATAAAAGTCAGCATATTATAATACAATTTTCCTTGAAAATTCAATTTTTTTTTCTATCATATATATATATATATATATATATATATATATATTTATCGAGCCAGGCCCGTTTTGGTAATTCAGTTTGGGCTTCCAAACTGTCAAGTTCGACCATGATCACCGTGATCCCATAAGAATAATTTCCAGCCCAAGATGGGTTAGTTTTTTTAGGGCCATTTCATAACCATTTCGGTTTTCGATTTTCACTTTTTATTTTTCAAAAACTAAAAACTTGTTCGGTAACTCATCTCATTTTTCACAAAAATTGAAAACTGAAAACTGAACCGAAAGTTGTTCAGTAACTTATTTCAATTTTCAGTTTTATGTGAAACTTGGAAATGAAAGTTTTTGGGGTCAAATTGTGAATTTGATATCATAAAATGTAATTGCATATTACAAAGAGTTCATAGTATTTTTCAGTGAGGTTTTTGCAAATAGGATGATTTTTTGGTGAATTTTGGAGATGGTGTTCCCAAGACTTGGATTGGGTCCGTGGCCAAACACAAGATTTGAGCGATTGGGTTCAAATCGGGAGGTCCCAACTACCAAATTTAGATAACTGGAGTGCATTCCATATGTCATGATGTAAAATTAATGAAAGAAATAGAAGCACAAAAAAATGAAAACGAAAACTTAAAACTTAAAACACTTTCAAATTGTTTTTAAAAAATAAGGGTGATTTTGAAAACTATATTTCACTTTTTTTAAAACTAAAAACAAAATATTTTACAAAACTAAACTAAAAACAAAAGATGTTTTTAGTTTTCAGTTTTCACAAAAAGTAAAAATTAAATGGTTATCAAACAACACCTTTAGCTTTTTTGGAAAATTGTTAATTATAAATTTGAATATGGGAATATCAAAATTAGATATGGTGATATGCAATGCAAAGGTTAAAACGTGCATTGCCTTCCTGTTTTTTTTCTTCTTCTTGAAATGAGAGGCAAAGGCCCAATATCCAAAAAGCTACCAAACAGATACAAATAGCACCAATAAAGAAAAAATACTTAACCCCAATTAAGTCATCCCTCAAAGATTATCCCATATCGAACAAGGTGGCAACAAAAAAACAAACAGGAAACATAAGAGCTCATATCCATAGAGAAGCCAACCACATGATCATCAATTGGGTTTCTATCAACGACATTTGGTTTGGTTTTGATGTTGCTTTATAAGGTTGAGAGAAATATTAGAAATTCGATTCTTAAATATTAAAATTCTTGACTAGGCTGTGCGTACCGAGAAGAAAAAAATACACTAACGGTTTAACATTTAAAATCTCTTAAAATATGACCGTCCCAAGTTGAATAACCATTCTCGTGTTGAACCAAACCTTAAGATTTTCCGAACCCCATATGCACCATGACCTCATGCCATTATATGTCCCCCAAGGCACGATGCTTACCTTAAGCCTTAAACTCAGCAGAAATATTAAGGAAAAAGGCATATGTAACTTCAAAGGAAGAAAGACTCCTCTATCGAAAATAAAAATGAATTTTACAGGAAGAAACCAGTGAGAGTCTTAATCAAAAGTTAATTTCGCTTGATTTGAAAGCATAATAACTTGTTTAATCGGGACTAATTTCAGCTTTATTGGAAAATAAATAAAAAATATTTTAATTATAAAACAAAAATGGTTACTTTACAGAAGAATGCTTGCAAATTACAAAAAAAAAAAAAAAAACTATAGAACAAATATCTTGCTGAGGAAACCCGTTGTCTCAGGTGTTGTCTTCTGCCGACATACACTCTTTTTAGTTTCGGATTTACAAAAAAAAGGAGTTACATTTGGCATTTACGATAAAAAAGGTCTTTATACAAAAAGCACACCCCACCACCGACAGGTCACAGCAGGCAACAAGTTACAGGTTACAAACGAGTAAGAAAAAAATACACTACAAAATCAAATCAAATAATTACAGCCACCTGTGCTACCATGTGAATCGTGAGGTAAAACACTCAAATACAATCAATTACTTTGCTATATTGATATATTCGAATTAACTGCTTTTTTTATTTTTTACTAATATAATATTCTTGCCTAAATCCAAATACTTTGGTTTAAATTATTTAATCCAAATGCATCCTAAAATAATTTGGAGCAACATAAATATCTTTTATTACTAGTTCAATATAAGAATACGAAATTTATAGTTATAATGATTAAATATATTTATTCATGTATACATAGCGGTTTATGATTTCTCATATCCAAATCCGCTCATTTTTAATCTAACGCAACCCATTATAATTAGATTGGACATATTGGTCAGGTTGATCCGAAAATGTGCCCACTCGTAAAAATTAGTATAAAAAAGATTTTGAAAATCGGGATTTTAGAATGACTCATAAAAGTGACTGACTCACAAATGATGGCTCTTGGGCTTAGCCACGAGTCTAAAAATATTTTCATTAATTAAATTTTCTGTAAATAAGTAAATTCCCTTACACCATTTCCTACATGATACTTAATTTCTCCCAATTTTTTTAAAGAAAATTTCTAAAATTATGTAAAATCCTCAATTAAATATTCTCTCTTTTAAAGAGGTTTTAGCTATGATGATAAGGTATTGAACAAAAAAACACTCACATTTAGGGCAATTGTTTGATTTCTGTCATCTTATTGTTTGAAAAAAAAAAAAAAACCCTATTTTTTAATCCTTTATAAAAAATAATGCAATGAGCTTCTAGTATCGTGCATATGAGATTTTGTGTTCAATTTTTCCTTTTTCAATACCGTTTGTACAATCTTTGAAAAAAACAAATACCTCTTGTATAAAAAAAATATATATTTTATAATTTTCTATTTATTTGCTTCAGCAGGAAATAAGACCCTCTCTCCCTCCCTCATCTCGAAATCCGTGTTAGAGACATGGAGCACATGTAATAATGTGACGGCAATCTCGCTCCCTTATGCATGTGCCTTTCCCTCTCTCTCCCTCTCTCTCTCTACTCACGCATCACACTCTACCCTCAACAAAACCCATCTTAACTCTCTCTCCCTCCCTCCCTCAGCCACAGTCCTCTCTCTCTGACTCTCTCCCACGCACATAGTTGAAAATTCAGTTGCAGAAATTCAAGGGCGCGCCGCGGAGCCCGAAGATCTTCGCCAGCGGATCGCTCCTATCTCCCCGCGCATCGAACCGGATCTAAATGAAATCCGCCACCAAAGTCTCTCTTAACCCGCTTGTCGCCTACGAGCACAAGAGGTATACGCTTCTTCCGTGCTACCCCCTCCCCCTTCCCGCCACGCGTCCCTCCTAGGTCTTCTAATTTCATCGTCTTCTTCGATCACATTGACTTCTTAAACTGAGTTAATTATGCTTCTGAGTTTAAGATCCTGACCGTTGGATGCTGCTTAGTGTGTAATCTAATTTGGTAGGATTTGTGTGTTTGTTTGCTTGTGAATGGCTTGGTTTTAGATTGCTAGTTTGAATGTGAAATGCGGTGTGGTTTACAGTAGATTGAGATTGCGATGAGGCAATGCCGAGTTCTGTGGCTAGTAGAATTCTCGAGCATGAATCAGGCGATCGCTCGAGGCCGATTGCTGGTAATCCGAGCACCGTTGTGCGCGGAATTTCATTTTTTCATGGTTTGGGTTCGATAATCTTCGTAATTGGCCTGTTTCGATTGGCATATGATTGTGAACTGATTGTGATCTCAGTATGGAGTTGTTGTTATGTTAAGGTTAGATAGAATTACTGCTTGTCAAAGAAAATGTAACGTGTTGGGTAGATTTGTTTATCATTTATTAAAAAATTGGAATGAATCGGCATTGGTGTTTGGACAGGGATGCTTATGGATTTGCTGTGAGACCTCAGCATGTACAACGATACCGAGAATATGCCACTATCTACAAGGTTTTGTTCTTCTTTTATTTTCTTCTTTCTATCGTAACGTCTTTTGTTTTGGTTACTGAGAAAAATTCATGATGATGGAAATAAAGGAAAAGAGAAACAAAAGCTATATTTTACGTTTTTTGTTCTTTTAAATTCTTGAACTCTTAAAATCCTTGGCTGGTGTTTTCACTTCTTTTTTTCTGGTCTTACAGTGAAGACTAGAGGAGTGACTCTTATTTTTCAAATTTTAATATCTACTATTTTCACGAAACAAACAGACTTGAAAGCACAGATTCCGGCCATGTTGTACTCCATGTAATTTACTTTTGTTTTCAGGAAGAAGAGGAGGAAAGATCAGAAAGGTGGAAGTCTTTCCTGGAACTACAAGCAGAGTCCGCTCAATTGCCTGCAATTGGATTATCTAAGGAACAAGATAAGAAGGCCTTGCTTTCTGAAGCCTCAGAGCATGAACCAGACTCCAATTCGGAGAAGGGTGTTGATGGTGATGATTTAAGTGACCAGAAGGCAGGTTCCGATTCTCTGACCAAAAATGATAACGAAAAGGAGGAACTGGAAGCTAAGGACACAAAAACTCATGGGATTCAAATATGGAATGAAATTAGACCATCTCTTCATGCCATCGAGACCATGATGAGTGTTCGTATAAAGAAGAAGAACAATTTGTCAAAGCATGAGCAGGACACAGGAACTGGGAAGCCGCTTACTCCTCTTGAAGAGGCTAGATCCCCAAAAGGAGCATCTGAGGAGGACTCTGAGGAGGA